ACTGATTTTTTAGGACTTTTCTATGTCAACATAATCACTAGGCACATCACTGACTAACCACTGACTAATCACTGCATATGGACAGTGAAGAAACTAAATTAAAAAACATAAAAAAAACAAAACAATTTTTATTTTTTTGGCTTAAGTTACAGTGATTTTATTGTTTAGTTCAGTTTTGAAATGTAAGTTTGGGGCAGTGATGAAATGAAAGCTGAATGTGTGTCTTGTCCACCTCTCTGTCCTTGACATTTCTCTCTATCCTACTGTTTATCTGTCCAGGTGTGAATAAATTCACCAAAAAGCTGAGAGACCCCTACACCATCGATAACAATGAGCTGCTAGACTTTCTGTCCAGAGTGCCCTCAGATGTACAAGTGGTGCGTAAACTTCTGACTTTATCTTTGCCATGTTTTTATCTATTTTGACATCACATTTGCTGGTTCCAGACGAGGACATTGGTTAGGAGTGTCTTTTTAGAATCATTTCATCTCTCTTTTTCTTACCCTTCCCCTTCTTTTGTCTACTCAGCGGTTGGTTCTGTTCAGCTCGTTATTTGTTTTTATCTGTTTATAAACAATTGTATGCAATGAAATCCAAAATGTCGCATCCACATATCCCTTCTGCTTCCAATTCATTTTCCATGTGTGAACTGTGTAATATAATAAGGTTAAGTGAGTTAACTGCCTGGCATATATTTAGGCTAATTGTGTGTGTACACACACACATAGGCTGGTTGGCTGGTTGGCTGGTGCTGGTAATTTAAACAGAGTGTAAACCAACATTTAACCAGCCCCATGGGGTTTTGCTTTTACTCTAACTATAAGAACCGATTAACTGTCTGAAGACTACAAGTGCTGATTGAAAATATGTGCGTGTGTCTGTGTGTGCATATGTGTGTGATGTGACGTGCTGCGCTGATCAGGACAAAGTGCAGTTTAAACTGCAATTAAGCAGCAGCTTGTGAAAGTCATAGTGTTATCCAGCACTGATGGTGTTCGCTGTCACCACGAGCCCTGCTGTGCTCACACCAATCTCAGAACGCACATACACACACAGGCAGACTGGAGCTGTACGACCCAGGGCCACATCAGTGTTAACACACTTTCTCTTTGATCGCTCGATGCCTGCAACTTCTTTCATCTTTACAGGGTCATAATCCTTGCTCCTCTACACACCACTGCCAGCTCCTCATGTTTTACCCCCCTCGTTCTGCCCCATGCAGTTTTTACAGTTTCAGGGTCCTGTTGGAGCAGTAGGCACAAGGCAGGTAGCCACTGGCTTAAATGAGCCCAAGCTGTCCCCTCTGGTAGAGTGCAGCCACCTTACACACCTGGAGCCTGGAGGAACAGAGTGCTGCAGAGGCCCAGGCCCGGCAGGTACCAGGTCTTTACAAGGCCCCTAATGAGGGCCTGCTGGCGAGGGGAAGTGGGGGCAGACATGCTGCTCTGTTCTGGTGCCCATTCAGTTGGAGTAGTGCCTACTGTATAAGTAAGACTTTAAGTGCTACTGTAACAGTTATTGCTGCAGCTGGTGGAATGGTAATTGTTGGCAGGTTTTACTGACAGTTTGGGGGCTTGCTGAGGAGTGTGGGTGACAGACCAGGGGAGAGGGTTAAGAATAGGCATTTGTCAGGAAAGGCAAAGATTGAAACATGAGAAACAGGGTGTAAAAATGAGGAGAAAAAAAGTGTAAGTTGAGTTGATTGATTGATTGGAGATGGCTATTAATGGCAGGGTAGACTTATTTGTGTCAATAAAATAATCAAAATGTAGATGTAGTGCTAGGGAAGCTGAAAAAGGCTGTGCTAATCATCGTCTCATTAAGTCTCAGGGTTAGTTTTTTTATTCTGCTGTCATCTGCTAAAAACAGACCACAACCTTCTGATCTACACTGCGTCCTGTCACTGCTTCCGGTGGTGGGTTCACTTCATTGCCTGCCCTGCATTGCTGGGTCAAAGCTGTCTACGGGGATTAAGCCCCTGAAGCTCTGGGACATTGCAGACGGGTGTTGGGGTCCAAATGGAGCATCCCCTGAAGGGCATGTGTCCACGGCACCCACTGGCATTATTGCAGGGCCCTGACTGTGGCTGACACCATAGTTGACTAATGAAGTGCTATTTCAGGGCACAGGTGTGACCCAACATACACTGCAGCACACACACGCACACACTCTCCCAGCTCTGGTGCACATTAGGCCGTTTGGGGGTGTGTCAGCGTAGTGTTCCGCATCATTTGTAGGTGCTGCAGTGGAACTAGGTCTGATGAGGTTCTAATGACTTTATATACAAAGGGCAACCGTACTGTACTACAGTCCATCACCACATGCAGTATGAACCTGTACATAGACCTGGTTTTTCATCATTCAGTGCTGTTTTTAAAATCAAGTTACACAAAAAGAATGTACATTATGCAGCTTTAGTATTTATTTCTTATAATTAATACTTCTCACTTGATAACAGAAAATCATTTTCCCGTCACAAATACTTAACATGGCCAAGTTTATTATTATTGGTTGTTTTCCTGTAGAACAGGGGTAACCATATATATTTGTCAAAGGGCCAACATTGTTTTGGACACTTTGATGGCCAGAGACTCAAATAAAATGAAATAAAAATCATGTTGACATCTGACATTATTAATTGATGTTTATTTTAGAAACCATATTTTAGTCCCCATGGACTATGTTGTTTGCAGATGACATTGTGATCTGTAGTGAGAGTAGGCAGTAGCTAGAAGAGAACCTAGAGAGGTGGAGGTTTGCACTAGAAAGAAGAGGAATGAAGGTCAGTCGTAGCAAGACAGAGTACATGTGTGTAAACGAAAGGCAGAACAGTGAAATAGTGAGGTTACAAGGAGCAGAGGTGGTGAAGGTGCAGGAGTTTGGTACTTAGGATCAACTGTTCAGAGCAGAGGAGACTGTGGAAGAGAGGTGAAGAATAGAGTACAGGCAGGATGGAACAGCTGGAGAAAAGTGTCAGGAGTGATCTGTGACAGAAGAGTGTCAGCTAAGGTGAAGGGAAAGGTTTACAGGACGGTGGTGAGACCAGCCATGATGTATGGTTTAGAGACACTACCAATAGGCAGAAGACAGGAGGCGGAGCTGGAGGTGACAGAGTTAAAGATGCTAAGATTCTCTTTAGGAGTGACAAGAATGGACAGGATCAGGAATGAGGTCATTAGAGGGACAACACAGACAGGAAGGTTTGGAGAAAAAGCTAGAGAAGCCAGATTGAGATGGTTTGGACATGTGCAGAGGAGGGACAGTGGATACATTGGTAGAAGAATGTTAGAGATGGAGCTACTAGGTAGGAGACAAAGAGGAAGACCAAAGAGCAGATATATGGATGTAGTGAGGGAGGACATGCAGATTGTTGGAGTCAAAGTAGAAGATGCAGAGAACAGGGAGAGATGGAAATCAATGATTCACTGTGGCAACCCCTGAAAACAGGGACAAAGCCGAAAGAAAAAGAAGAAAGAAGAAGTTTATTTTAGAAACCAGTCGTAGGATTGGATTGTTCAATTTGCTAGATTTGGCCCATGTGCTCCAAGTTTATGATCACTGCTGAACATTTGCCTGATGTTTAAATGCTTGTTTTGTTGAACACTCTACGTAATACTAATATTACCTCTACCTTAGAGGTATCAATCCAGCACATTCAGCAGAAACGAAACAAAAAACAAGCATTTGCAGTCACTTCTACTGCAGCTTTTTTGCAGACTGTGTTGAAGACTTCCAAAAATAACAAGATTATTAAAAAGGGTAAAGTGATGCTTTAGAATTATTTTATTTCACAATGTATGTAATGAGTGTCTTACCATTTTCAGAATTGTTGTTTGTGCTCAAGTAAAACCAAGGCTGACCTTGGGCCCTTCATTCAATGGCAAACACAGATAAACATCTCTAGAGGAGCAACAGGCAGAGCCACCTCTTTTTTAACTATGTGGACATTTTACTTAAATTATAATATCCCTCTGTGAACAGCAATATAAGGGTAGACACAGTGTGTAAAGCATCTGCGAGCCCAAAAAAAGGAGTCACAGTCCCAGAGTCTCTAGTATGTGGTTTCGGATCCTCGTCCAGTGTAAGCTATCGTCGTGGCAATTATCAAGGAATCCTTCATGTCCTCTAAAACGAGGCCAAGCTGAGCACCTTTATAGTGCTAAGTGTTCCCCACTTGGCGTTTGGAAGGTGTCAGCGCAATAGTATATTTTACGACGCCATTAGCCATGTGAGCTACGGAGTGCATAAATAGGGCCAAGGCAATTAGCATGCCAAGTGGCCCTTTATGATTGGTATAAAGGAGCTGAATGAAGCCCCCAGTACAAAAATAAGCATGAATTCCAATTTAGTGTCTAATGAACAGCAGGGAGTTGAGTTAATATTTTTAGACAACATTTATGTTGGGGATGAAACCTCACCGGACACACAAAGGTCAAAGGCAGCATGGTTAAAAGGGTGAAACATTGCCAGATGCCATTACTCACATCTACCAGAGGTGTCTCTCTCCTTCGCTTTGTCCTTGTCTGACTTTTGTGACAAATTTAAACATTTCATCTCAACTGGCCAATTAGTCACTATTCAATATGTGGCAGGCCACAGCAGGTAATGGAAAAACTTTCCATAGTTTGGGGTTTTTTTTCTTCTGCATTTGGCATGCTGACATTTGTCATCTTGACATGCTTTTTACTATCCTAAGAGCAAGAATTAGTGCTGAATCCTCTGGAAAACCACTGTCTGAACTGAACACCACAGTTTTTCTGGAGAAACATTTAATAACCCTCATGCTCCGCGCGGTGCCACGCGAGATGAAACCTGCTGAAATTTTTGTTCCCGGTATCATTAAATCGTAGTCACCTGTGCCTTTTTTCACTTCATTTATTTACTCTCTTATTTGTCTCTTTGCCTTATTGTCACCCACCTTGGTTGACACTGTCTCTTTGCCCACACCAGCATCATCAAAACACTGTCATGTGTTGAATGGAGATAGATAGATAGAGAGAGAGAGAGAGAGAGGGAGAGAGAGAGAGAGAGAGAGAGAGAGAGAGAGAGAGAGAAGGTCCCGGGATGCTTTGTGGGTAAAACCATTAAACAAAGCAGGAGGCATGGAACACGGTGCCTGTTCTGCAGAGCACACTTCAAAGCCTGTTTGTGCACTTGTACTGTCAACATTTGGAATGAGAGAGAAATGGTGAGAGGAGGACAGGAAGGGAAAGGAGCGAAGAGCAAAGGAGGAGAGGAGCGAGGGTGGCACAGCCTTTGAGCAGTGTGGGTCTTTACCCAC